CCCCAAAACCCCAAAACCCCAAAACCCCAAAACCCCTTTGAGCGTTGATGTAGAAATTTTACATACTTTAGCTAAATAAATTATGAAAGTATATACTCTAGGATTGAATTAATCATCAGTCGAACTCAATTATCATTGCCTTTTTTTAATCACTCTTTTGTTTCTTTATCATATACATTGACTTCTTAGTCTAACTTGCTTTCTTTTGGTTTATCCTCTTCATCACTATCTTGTTCTAATTTCAAGAGTTCAGCATCAACTTCATCATCTAGCTGATCCGATTGCATATTATCAGTTTTTACCTCTACTTTAGCAGTCACAGTTGTAGTCTAGATTTATTCAGCTTGCTTTTATTCAACCACTGGTTATTCTTTTGCCTAATCTGTAACTTTAGTTTCGACTTCTACCTATTTCACTTCCTCTTTTTACTCCTCATAAATTTCCTAGTTTTAAGCCTTTTCTTCTTGATGTTTTTATTCCTCTTATTTCTATTATTGAATTTCTTCAGTCTTTGACTCAACTTACTCTTCTTCTTCTTCTTCTTAGTCTTCCTCATCATATTCTTCTTCCTATTGCTCCTATTATTGATCATCATCATCATCTTCTCCACCAATAGTAAAAACCTTCTTCTTGTCAACCACTTGCTATTGTTGGATTGTTGATTAAGTCTAAGTAGTTTACTATGAGTTATCATCCTCATCATCATCACCAACATCAAAGTCAATCTATGGCTTTGATCTCTGTTATTATTCTTATTGTTCAGCTTGGTTTTTGTTAAAGAGTAGACTAGCAGCTGTTTATTATTTTTGCTCATCTTCCACAGAATTTAGAACTATTTAAATATCATCTCTTTGCAATAAACTTTGCATTCTATTGAGGAAATCATTGTACATAAGATCATCAAATGCTGAGTAATATTCAATTGCTTTCTAGTAAAGAGTTGTCAAAGTTTGGACAGTAGAAATGCTTAAGTCATGATTTATTGCATTTTCATAGACACTTATATGCTCTAAGATTTATTCAATGTCCATTTGCTGAATTGCATCCTTTGTCACTTCACTTTCTTTGATCTTTGTTTGATTCTTGGTATTTCTATCAACTCCAACTCCCATATTCTGCATATTTGAGACAAGAGTGCTGATACATTCCTCATGCTTAGAAATCAAGAGATTTAAGACCCAAGGTTACTTTCCGTCAATATGTCTCCATACAAAGGATACAAGATCTGGTCTATTCAGGTTCCTTCTCAGCTTATCTAAGCTTTGAAGAGTTGCCCAAGATAATAATAATCCCATATTTCTAAGATTCTTCTGAGGTTCTAAAATCAAAAGAGCTGATTAAGTAATGACTAGATATCTAGCATAGTATAGCTCTTCATCTTGTTCATCTTACTCTTCACACTCAAATATCTTTGAGCCTCTATCAACCCCACCTGGGCCCCAATTACTCATTTCATAGAGATAACCTAAGTGGAAAGTTCCATAAACTTTCATTTCTTCTTCAGTAATTTTCACTTCAGATATAAACTCTGGAATGTATTGTACGATCTCGTATAATTTTTTAGCAATCTTCCATTCACTCTTTAGGATATCACTGAAGAGATCTCTACCGTCATTCAAAGGTGGGATTGAAAAAGGTGTTCTACAGAATATCTGAGGCTATTAGAATGGATATTTATGGTCAAGCAAGACATCAAATACAAATTTTTCTTATCTCTTATCTAAAAGTTCAGATTTCACTAGTCTTCTGTCGATTTAGAACTAAAATTATGCGATTATATCTAGATCTATTTACTCTGATATATAAGCCAAGGATGGTCTCGAAAGTGCTAAATTGATAATCTTAAGGTAAATTCTTAAGCATATCAAGCTCTATAGAAATTGATTAATTTAAAAGTTAGCTTGCCAATATTGATTCTCTTTATTCTTATGTCCTGACTCGAGGCTTCGTGTTATGATTGTGCCATTTTATCAAAAGCAATTTATTGATTAAATTATAAATTATTTATATTAAGCTTGACATAGACGAAATGGTATTTTCTTCTTTTTTAATTTCATAGTAAGAAGAAATAAATGTTTTTAACAATGATTTCCAAGGCCCAGCATACTCAGTTAAGTACCTAGGTAATTTAATTCATTGAAAATATTCATTATAGGTATTGTTGATGGAACGATGGGAATATTATCGAGAAAAATGGCATTGCCTGTAGCTCCGCCCTCAAATCCCTAACATTATAAAGAGGTTATCTCAAAACTTGATCCCAAAAAGTATTACTTTACTTTACTTAAAAAATCTGTAGACTGTAACCAAGGACTGATTTCTGTGCTCCTGTTTTAGGAAAAAAAAGTTACACTGCTAAATATGCAAAGGCTTTTCAAGATTCTGTTACAGATTAAAATGGATAGAACCATGCGATAGTCTATTCTAAGAAAAACTCATAAATGGTAAATTAGCCTGGTTAAGATCACAATGAAAGCAGTTAGATTTTAATGGCTTAAAGTTATCATCAGAATATGCAGCATAATCAATATCAAATAGGTTCCTAAGGAGTCGAAGTTGTTAATGTCAAATTGAAGGATTAGACCTATCAAGAATTTGCAAATACAGGAGGAAATTCATAGAATGGAGGTCAAACTTTTAGTAATTAAAACCCCCCTACTGTACTCTAAGATCACCACTTAATGGATGATAGGAGGAGTGTTGATAAAACTTCTACTGATTCTCCTTCTAGATTATATATGAGAAGTTTGATGGATCATTCAAATAAGGATACTACAATTAAAGCAGATAATAAGTAAAAAAAGCCTGAAAAAAAGAACAGTAAAATGAAGGCAAATTTAAAACTCACAGGGAAGAGCATAATAGAAAGCTCATAGACTATCTAAAATTAAATGCCAACACTATCATTAAAATCAGGAAGCAAAGATCTTTAATAAAAGCAATAATCATCAATGTAATAGCACAATATGATGGTATAATAACAATTCTAAGCGGATCACTTGAAAAAGCCTTTTTCTCACCCAAATCCCCCAATACAAGTCATGATTGGCTCAAGCAATCCCACTAGTTATAACTAGGCAGATTCAAAGCTTTAATAACATTAAAACTAGTCTCACTTATAAAATTCTCACTAAGATGACTAGCAGATCATTGAGCAATATATGTCTGCAGTTTAATAATCTAATTAAAATGAGCGTATAAGTGGGTATCCCAAGCCTGATCTATATAATTAGCATTACATCAATAAGTATTCCTTCCCGAAAGGTCTATAAGCAGTGCGTAAGCCTGAATCAATGAAAAAATAGCATTAGAAATTATCCTTGTATGACATGGAGACTCCTAACATACGTAAAGGAATTGCTGGCTGGAAATTAACTAAGAGACCAATGGGAATAGCTCTAGAATCAGGCCAGATGTCATCTGATTTATTTTTAGACACTCAGATTGCTGTTGAATAACCTACTAAAAGAAAAGGAAGAAGAGGTGATGGTTCTGTTGAAAGTAAAAATTAGCACTAATTGATGAACAGATCTCATATTGTCGAAACTGTGCAGGAAAATATTATTGATAGTGATGAGGATAATAGACAAAATTTGAGTGCTTATGATGGAAATAATAGTTAAAATATAAGTGCTAATAATGCTAGAAGATCTGTAGTACATCACTAATAGGTGGAAAATGAAAGACTTACTAATATAAAAATCAACTATGCCAATAGACAGAACATCAAACTTGAAAATGAGTAGCAATAAAATTTTTCTGGGGAAGGGCAGCTTGATGATGCTTATGGCGTTGCAACCCCTAATACTTAAGAGAAAAACAGAAATCAATTTTTAAATGTCCTCAAGACTACTGATGCAGGAGCAAGTAGTATTGGAGATCCTAATGACTAAGAGGTAACAAACTCTTTCACAAATAGAAATCTTCAAAAGTAATATGATGATGATAAATAAATAGTATCACCCAAAACCTACGAGTGATTATAATTTAATTTTACCAATATTTAGATATAATATTCAATTTGGGGTTTTGGGGTTTTGGGGTTTTGGGGTTTTGGGGTTTTGGGGTTTTGGGG